CTAGCAGAAGACAAGAAATAACTAAGATCAGAGCAGAACTGAAGGAGATAGACAGAAAAAACCCTTCAAAAAATCAATAAATCCAGGAGCTGGCTTTTTGAAAAGATCAACAAAATAGACAGACCACTAGCCAGATTAATAAAAAAGAAAAGAGAGAATAACCAAATTGATGCAATAAAAAACGATAAAGGGGATATCACCACAGATTCCACAGAAATTCAAACCATCATCAGAGATTATTACAAACAACTCTATGCACATAAACTAATAAACCTGCAAGAAATGGATAAATTCCTGGACACTTGCCTCCTCCCAAGCCTAAGCCAGGAAGAAGTTGAAACCCTGAATAGACCAATAACAAGGTCTGAAGTTGAGGCAGCAATTAAGAGCTTACCACCCCAAAAAAGCCCAGGTCCAGACGGGTTCACAGCCGAATTCTACCAGACATACAAAGAGGAGCTGGTACCATTCCTTCTGAAACTATTCCAAACAATCCAAAAAGAGGGAATCCTTCCCAAACCATTTTATGAGACCAACATCATCCTGATTCCAAAACCTGGCAGAGACTCAACAAGAAAAGAAAACTTCAGGCCAATATCCTTGATGAACCTAGATGCAAAAATCTTCAATAAAATACTGACAAGCCGATTGCAACAGCACATCAAAAAGCTTATCCACCATGACCAAGTAGGCTTCATCCCAGGGATGCAAAGCTGGTTCAATATACGCAAGTCTATAAACGTAATTCACCACATAAACAGAACCAAAGACAAAAAACACATGATTATCTCAATTGATGCAGACAAGGCCTTTGACAAAATTAAACAGCCCTTTATGCTAAAAACCCTCAATAAACTAGGTATTGACAGAACGTATCTCAAAATAATAAAAGCTATTTATGGCAAACCAACAGCCAATATCATACTGAATGGGCAAAAACTGGAAGCATTCCCCTTGAAATGTGGCACCAGACAAGGATGCCCTCTCTCACCACTGCTATTCAATATAGTATTAGAAGTTCTAGCCAGAGCAATCAGGCAAGAAAAAGAAATAAATGGCATTCAAATAGGAAAGGAGGAAGTCAAATTGTCTCTATTTGCAGGTGACATGATTGTATATCTAGAAGACCCCATCGTCTCAGCCCAAAATCTCCTGAAACTGATAAGCAACTTCAGCAAAGTCTCAGGATACAAAATCAATGTGCAAAAATCACATGCATTCCTATACACCAATAACAGACTTAAAGAGAGCCAAATCAAGAACAAACTTCCGTTCACAATTGCCACAGAGAATAAAATACCTAGGAATACAATACGTTTAACAAGGAACGTAAAGGACCTCTTCAAGGAGAACTACAAGCCACTGCTCAACGAAATAAGAGAGGACACAAACAGATGGAGAAACATTCCATGTTCATGGTTAGGAAGAATCAATATCGTGAAAATGGCCATACTGCCCAAAGTAATTTACAGATTCAATGCTATCCCCATCAAGCTACCAATGACCTTCTTCGCAGAACTGGAAAAAACCACCATAAACTTCATATGGAACCAAAAGAGAGCCTGAGTAGCCAAGTCAATTCTAAGCAAAATGAACAAAGTGGGAGGCATCACACTACCAGACTTCAAACTATACTACAGGGCTACAGTAATCAAAACAGCATGGTACTGGTACCAAAACAGAGATATAGACCAATGGAACAGAACAGAGGTCTCGGAGGCAACACAACATATCTACAACCATCTGATCTTTGACAAACCAGACAAAAACAAGCAATGGGGAAAGGATTCCCTGTTCAATAAATGGTGTTGGGAAAGCTGGCTAGCCATGTGCAGAAAGCAGAAACTGGACTCCTTCCTGACACCTCGCACTAAAATTAACTCCAGATGGATTAAAGACTTAAACATAAGACCTAACACCATAAAAACCCTAGAAGAAAATCTAGGCAAAACCATTCAGGACATAGGTGTAGGCAAGGACTTCATGACCAAAATACCAAAAGCATTGACAACAAAAGCCAAAATAGACAAATGGGACCTAATCAAGCTCCACAGCTTCTGCACAGCAAAAGAAACAGTCATTACAGTGAATCAGCAACCAACAGAATGGGAAAAAATTTTTGCAGTTTACCCATCTGACAAAGGGCTGATATCCAGAATTTACAAAGAACTAAAACAGATTTACAAGAAAAAAACTAACAAGTCCATTCAAAAGTAGGCAAAGGATATGGACAGACACTTTACAAAAGAAGACATACATGAGGCCAACAAACATATGAAAAAATGCTCATCATCACTGGTCATCAGAGAAATGCAAATCAAAACAACATTGAGATACCATCTCACGCCAGTTAGAATGGCGATCATTAAAAAATCTGGCGACAACAGATGCTGGAGAGGATGTGGAGAAATAGGAACACTATTACACTGTTGGTGGGAGTGTAAATTAGTTCAACCATTGTGGAAGACAGTGTGGCGATTCCTCAAGGACCTAGAAATAGAAATTCCATTTGACCCTGCAATCCCATTACTGGGTATATATCCAAAGGATTACAAATCGTTCTACTATAAGGACACGTGCACACGAATGTTCATTGCAGCACTGTTTACAATAGCAATGACCTGGAACCAACCCAAATGCCCATCGACGATAGACTGGATAGGGAAAATGTGGCACATATACACCATGGAATATTATGGAGCCATCAAAAACGATGAGTTGGGGTCCTTTGTAGGGACATGGATGAACCTGGAAACCATCATTCTCAGCAAACTGACAGAAGAGCAGAAGATCAAACACCGCATGTTCTCACTCATAGGCGGGTGTTGAACAATGAGAACACAGGGACACAGGGAGAGGAGCACTGCACACTGGGGTCAGCTGGGGGAAATAGGAGAGGGACGGTTGGGGGTGGGGAGCTGGGGAGAGATAGCAAGGGGAGAAATGCCAGATGTAGGTGATGGGGAGGAAGGCAGCAAATCACACTGCCACCTGTGTACCTATGCAACAATTTTGCATGTTCTTCACATGTACCCCAAAACATAAAATGCAATAAAATAAATAAATGGGGAAAAAAAAAAAGAAATCAGAGTTCAATCTAATGTGAGACTTATCTCACTGCAACAATTGGAGAAACTCCCAAAGCTCTAAGTAGGAGGTTCAAAGGGGCTCAGAGGAATTGTTTTTTGAGACAGGGTCTCACTCTGCCCCTCAGGCTAGAGTATAGTAGGCCAATCACGGCTCACTTCAGCCTCAACCTCCTGGACTCAAGCTATTGAATTAAGAATGTCTGTTGATCAAATCATATCAAGATAACAAAGCTGAGTTTATTCCTCTTTCCTTGGCCTCCCAAAGTGTTGAGATTACAGGTGTGAGCCACTGTGCCTGGCCAATATAATGGTCTTGGATAAGCAATAACTGTGCTTAGCTTTGGAGCTAAGATAACAGATTTACAAAACAAAAATCAAAAAAATTTACACAAAAAAATTCCATAAATTTTACATTTGTAGTCTCTATTTTTTGACGTGAAATAAAGTTCAGCCACAGGAGCATTCCAGGGCCAGGTGACCCAACCCCAGTAAAAACCCTGGACATTAAGGCTCAGTGAGCTTCCCTGGTTGGCAATACTCGATACATGCTGTCATATATTGTGGCTGGGAGAAATGAGCAATGCCCATGTGACTCCACTGGGAGAGGACAACTGGAAGCTTGCACCTGGCCTCTCCTGGACTCTACTCTATGTATCTTTTTGCCTTTGCTGATGTTAATCTGTATACTTTCACTGTAATAAACCATAATCAGGAATATAACACAAAAATAATGCTGACATTCTGCTAGAAATAGAAATCATTCAATTTGCTAAAACTCCAGGTGGTATGAGTATTAGTAGATACATTTTGGTATGATTCCCTTGCACTTCTTGATAAAAGTTAGGAAGAAGGTGGGATTATGTCATTAAGCTATTAATGGTTACAGAGAACAATAATAAAACAATTAGCATTTATACAGCACTTTTTTCTTAGGATCCCAAATCTTTTTTTTTTTTTTTTTTGACATCAAGTCCCAGTCTGTCATGTAGGCTCAAGTGCAATGATGCAGGCTCGAGTGCAGTGACACAGTCTCAGCTCACTGCAACCTTTGCCTCCCAGGTTTAAGCCATTCTCCTGCCTCAGCCTCCCAAGTAGCTGAGATTACATGTGCCCATCACTACGCCCTGCTAATTTTTGTATTTTTAGTACAGACAGGGTTTCACCATATTGGTCAGGCTGGTCTCAAACTCCTGACCTTGTGATCCACCCACTTTGGCCTCACAAAGTGCTGGGATTACAGGTGTGAGCCACTGCACCCGGCCAGGTTCCCAAATCATTTAAGACACAATTTTCAATGTGACATCGTTTCAAGTACCCAGATAAGAAAAAACTATAGTTCCTTTTTATAAGATGGAAAAATAAATGATATACAAAGTTAAATGACTTCCAATTAACACTATTAGTGATCAAACCAATAAACAGAATTGAGGATTCTTTACTATTGGTTCAGGGTTCTATGTTCTAAAACATGCTGCCTGTGAAGTTAAGATATGCCAGGAATTCATATTAACAAAATGATGATATACCCTGTTGGAAGCCACATATTCTTTTTTTTAGTTAGCTTCTCTTCAGGAATTTACATTATTATTATTGTCAGTTAGTCTGTTTTCAAACAACTTTTGGCAGTGGAACAATTAAAGAGAGTTTCAAAATCACAGAGGAATTTGTTCCTACCTCCTGGGAGTGTATCAAAGTTCTGGTGTCAGCTTGCAAAAACAATTAGATTAAGGAAACTATTTATTAATATATTGATATTGGCAATATTTTTAGAAGGTAAAAGCCCTAATAGTCATATTCTTCACATAAATGTTCCCCATTGCTCTTCTTTTCTTTTTTTTTTTTCACCAAAATATCATTTTTAGCTTTATAAGCTCTAGTTCAGCAGCCCACTGGAAATGATAAAATACTCACTGGCTCTAAGAATGTTCTCCTTGCTGCTGCACCTGGACTGGACCTGTAGAAAGAGCATAAACTCAGTAATTTAGGGCTCATGGCATGAATAGGCAGATATGCATATTTAATGGGCAAGCTCCTGAGGTCTGGGATCAAAGGCTTTATATATTAATATTTCAGATGTCATAACATGTTAGTAAAAATGTTATACGTGTTTCATCATTTTTATTTATCCTTTACTTACTTTGAAGAAAGAACTGACTTCCAAAAAAAAATTGGAGGTACAATATTATAAATTATACAGAGATAAAACAAAGGCGAGTTTTTTATTCATTTGTATTTGAAATCAGTATTTGGAAACAGATTTGTTACTGCATATTTAGTTGTAAATATTGGCCCTTAATATTAAGGTATTTAGTATATCTCTTGACTAGAATAATAAAAAATTCAAGTAATAAAGTTGTAACTAAGTATTCCATTGTAGTAATTTTTAGTATGTATATAAATGGGAGGAAAATAGAGAAATCCTTATGTAATATTTACATTTGAGTTGGAAAATCTTTATTTATTGATTATAGTTATAAATTTAATAATTTATCATAGTTATAATACTGATTATGAAATATGCTTCCATTGAAAATCAGTAAAACTGAACAAAGTTATTTACCAATTCTTAGGTATATGTATAATTTATCAATTAGGAACCCTATGCTTTGACTCAAATGTTTAGATCAAAGTGAAACATTCTTTTAAATGTTACAAAACTGCTACATTCAAGGAGCATGGTACATGTCATTAACATGTTAATTTCAAAGGAAACTGTATTTAAGCTCCACACCTCTTCTTCCCATTCCACAGCAGCTTGCCTCAAATGGATATATACACAACAAATTAATTTCTATAGTTTAACACAATCTACTATCATAATGAAATAACTTATGAAAGGAATGTTGCAACTTAGGGTGAGTTATGATTGTCCTTCCCTGAAAAAAACAACTGTTAATGTTTAAAAAAAAATGACAATAAAAAAGTCACAAACATACATACAAGAAAAAAAAAATACACACACGAAAAAATGAAAAAAAAAAAAAAGAAAAGAAAAAATAATTCCAAATGTTAGTTATTCTCTTTTGGCCCAGATTGCTCAACTAGTTTTAAATACACTAGAAGGAAAAAGTTAATCTGAGGTTAATATTCTTACGTTCTTTTACTCAGGAGTCTTATTTAAGAACAATTCTGGACCAAATGGGAAAGAAATCAATGACTGCTTAAAGCAAATAATATAGGGAAGAAGACACAAGGATGCAGAAAAGAAAAGTGAGAGAGAGAGGTTTGAGGTTGTAAATTTAGGCAATGGAAAAGAAAGTATGGAATTACAGAAGGGGACAATATGTAAATGCAGAATGTGCTGCTATTTCTCATTAAAAATTCATACCAACAGGGTAAGAATGACTAATGAACTTGCTGCAAAATAAACAAGCAAGTTGCTATACTATGGAATGAACATAAGTATAACTATACCACTACAGCCTTAAAGAAGAAAAGAAACACACACTAACAGACAAATTAACAGACAAGCTTAATAAAGAGAGAAACTACATTTTAAAAGTGATTCAAAGAACACAAGAGAAAGCTAGAATACAGAGAGAAAAGTCTGGGAGAGAAAAGGAAAAGAAAGGGGGAAATGTTAAAAGACAAAAACAGAGTTCAAAGAAGTCAAATGGAAGTCAAGAAAGTCTTCAACAAGATGTAGAAACAGAAGGAGCCCAAACCCATAGCGCAAAGCAATGTTTGCGAATGGAAAGCAGCTCCTTTGATCAGTAATAGTTACTCTTAAGTCGTAGCCTCTATTCCTCCAGAGTTCATCTTTAAGCCCTTCCAATCTAGAGTGGAGCTAGTGTATGGATAGAAACAAGAGATTTACAATGAACAGAGCAGTTCAGATGAGTAGTTCAAATTGTCTCATAAAATGTTCCAACAGAGTTATTTAATGTCTCTTATATACATTTTATAATGTATATAATGGAAATGGTGGTGAAAAATTAGTTGGCTTTACCAAAAAAACCCAAACCAAACCAAACCAACAACAAAATACCCTCTCCCATTCCCTAGGTGACTTAAAAAATTAACAACAACAAAATCATTCATAAATGAATTGAATAAAGAAACCCAAGTATTGCTTTGTGGCACCTCAGTTTAGAACTATATATTTCAAACAGCTTTGGTGGAGAAATTTGTATGAGGAAAACAATTCAATTCCCTGAGTCTGAGCATTTATCAAGGTTCACAAATTGCCAACAGCAGTATAATCAATGCTTTCTCATTTATATTACATTGGCTATTTGAACCAGATTTGGGGAGAATTTCTTTAATATCAACGATTATAAGAATTTCTTTAGTGATCTTGAGTATGTGTGTGTCTATCTATCTATCACTGAAGAAAACAAAAATTTAAAAACATTGCTTTTTATGCATGTAGCAAATAACTTTTCCTCTTGCACCATGAAACTCGTCTTTATAATATTTACATAATTTTATACAATTTCAAGGTGAAAATTCTACCTAACTCACAGTGTAATGGTATAACTTGAAATGGTAAACTTGGGAAACAACTATTGTTCTTATACATATGGACTATAAAGAAGGTAACACAGGTCTGTCTCAAGTTTTATGGCTTTTTATTTTTTTCTTTATGTTACCCTGGCTTTACTCAATGCGGAAAAAAGGAAAACCTGGAACGCAGAATAAAATGGATTTTGGCCTAATATTAAATTAGTCAGGGATTAGAAATAAAAGGTATGGTATCTGATTACCTTTTACTTTATTCCATTGGATCATGTTATTTTACTTCAGTTAATATCTGATTTTACAGTACTGACAAACAATTCCCTTTCAACCAGAATCAAAACTGAGATAACATGTAGAAACAGCATATTATATTAAAGTCAATGGAGAAAATGAAAAGCATGAAGGTCTTAATGAAAACATAGGGTATTCATTTACTTATCAAGATTGTTTTGAGACATCAAGTAATTCATTTCAACATGTGTTTACATGTGTAACATAATTTTTGCTGAAGATCACATCATCCATTAGGAAATCTTAAGATGTGAAAAGGAAAACAGAAGGGAGAGCACATAATAAATGTAAGGAACAAAAGTGAAAATGTCTTAAAAAAAGCTGAAAAAATTTTAACAAACAACCACGATCTTTAGATACAGTTAGAGAAATCACTTACCTTATGCTTAGGTCATAACAAGAATAGCACAGTGTTTAAAGTCAGCTCTTCATTATGGGAGGTACAATTGAAAGCCATAGGTTATAATAACATGAATTGCTACATAGAAATGAAGACTTTTTCAGCCCAACATGAAAAGCTAACTCTTATGTGAGAACATTTCAACTTACGTTAAATGCAACATGAAGAACAACTGAGGGTGTAAACATCAAAACACACCCAAACACATGAACCTCACACCAAAAAGAGAGAGATGGCTCAATCTCTCAGGACACAGAAGATTTAATCTGTGACCATAAGTTGGGACATATAAGGGAAGGCACATTGCTTTAACAGTGAAAGATGCATGCATAATGTTAACCATCCATTTACCTCCCCACCCTCCATCCAGCTTGTACACACAGAAGCCCACTAAGATACAGGGAAAGAATGTAGTGCCAAGCTGATATGAAGAAAGCAGGACACACGAAAGCACAGCAGTGGTCATGTGATTTGAGAGCTGTTCTTCCCTTAAACCATCCCATCACCATGCTTATTTTAAAGAAGCCAGGAAAAGATTCCCTTTCAATGCTGCAGTAGCTACGAGCCCCCAGCTTGAAGCTAGTGTGTGGAATTTTGATCACCGTTCCCTGCGATGTCAGGGGCTTTCCAGTGGAAGCCAGATGTACCATACTAATACCAGTTAGTGGGGGTACAAATGTGTGAATAACAAGCATCTTTTCCCTTCTGCATTTCACAGAAGTGAGGGAGGAGAGAAACAACGAAAATAAAACCCATGTTAAGGATAGGTTCATAACAATATAAGAATATATACGTATTAAAATGGAAATTACATTTGATTGCAGGTTAACACAAATCAGGTTTCAAAAAATTGCCTATTTTGCTGCTCACCAGCCTAATTTGTATTCTTTTTCTCGTAAACACTATACAGTTGGCTCATACTGAAAAAATTCTGAGCACTTGGTCAGACGGGGTCAAAGTCAAGAACAAAACAGTCATCTTCTTTGATGGACATTAAGAAAACTATCATTCCATTTTAAACATGACTTTACTGGCCACTAATCACATTTTAAATTAGAAATTAAGTTTCTGTTTATGTTTACTTATATAATCTGAGAAGTCCTCTGTTTTGGAAAGACACAATGAAAATTTTAATCTTTTTACACTGTTAAAAAAGCAAACAACAAAAAAGCTATCTATTTAGAAACTGTTTCCTAAGTACTCTTGTCTACTAGCAATACAAGTTAATTAACAAGGACTATTCCTGTCAAACAATTTCAACTTTGCTCTCATATAATTGGTGACATTAGTTAACTTTATCCATTTTATTATTTTTGTGTGAGATGAACTTTGATTCACGTGTGACATCCCAATTTAGTTAAGCAGATGTGTAAACTCTTCAATGATCATGTACTCATTTTCTCTCCCTCCTTTTATTCTTAGTAGACCTTCTCTTTAATGTGGCTTTGGTATTTTAGGCTCTGGGCTCTCACATAATCTCAGTTTCCTCACAGGAAAAATAGATTGTTTGTGGCTCAAAGGAGATAGTGCATGTATCAGTGATTTTAAGATATAAAAATAAAAATAAACGTCATTAGTTGTCTCGAACTCCTAACCTCAGGTGATCCACCTGCCTCAGCCTCCCAAAGTGCTGGGATTATAGGCATGAGTCATGCACCTCTGGCCTATAGATGTCAGTAGTTGTTATGATCAGTGGTGCTACTGACAGCTATAAAAATAACTCTGTGATTACACACCCTCTTCATTATAATGTATGCAAGCTCTTGTTTTTAATCCAAAGAGGGGGGAAATTCTGCGTACAG